AAAGCAAGTTCTGTTCTGAAAATTATCTGAAAGCAAGTTCTGTTATGAAAATTCTGTATATCTGTTATGTTCTGATGCTTTAAGCACAAAGGGAGACATAAGGGGCCATAATCCGTTGAGATTCTGTCAGTGTCAGGGAAGGGAGGCATAAGGGGCCAGAATCCGTTGAGATTCTGTCAATGTCCAGGAATCTGATATCTGTTATGTGAAAATAAGTTTTGTTCTGAAAATTATGTATATCTGTTCTGTTCTGGTGCTTTAAGCACAAAGGGAGACATAGGGGGCCAAAATCCGTTGAGATTTTGTGAGTGTCAGGGAAGGGAGGCATAAGGGGCCAGAATCCGTTGAGATTCTGTCAGGGTCCGGGAAGCTGATATCTGTTATGTGAAATGTGCTTTTATGATTTGAATTCTGTTCTGTACGATTCCGTTTGTTCTGTACGATTCTGTTTGTTCTGTACGATTCCGTTTATTCTGTACGATTTCGTTTGTTCTATACGATTCCGTTTATTCTATACGATTCTGTTTGTTCTGTACGATTCCATTTATTCTGTATAATTCTGTTTGTTCTGTACGATTCCGTTTATTCTGTATGATTATGTTTGTTCTGTACGATTCCGTTTATTCTGTACGATTCTGTTTGTTCTGTACGATTCCATTTATTCTGTATATTTCTGTTTGTTCTGTACGATTCCGTTTATTCTGTATGATTCTGTTTGTTCTGTACAATTCCGTTTATTCTGTACGATTCTGTTTATTCTGTACGATTCTGTTTATTCTGTTTGTTGGTTCTGCAAAATCTGACTTGAATATCCTGCTGTTCGAAATAAATTCAGTTCTTCTGTATCAGCTCTTTGATTCTAATCAAGTATCTGAATATCGTATTTCATTTGATTATATACGATTTCTGTGATTATCTGAATTCTGTACGGATTTATGAGTTTCCTGTCATTGCACGATTTCATTGATAGTACATACTGTACATGTCACTAATTACAGATACCGATATGGATATTGATATTGCATCGATTCATTGATTCATTGATCTTATGGATATCGATATTATTGATTCATCGATACGATAGACTTATTGATACCATTTATTTATTGATACTACTGATACCGATACCGATACCGATACCGATACTACCGATTCACTGATACTATTGATTCATTGTACTGATCTTATAGCACGTGATACACCGAATACTGACCGATATATGTGATTCATGTGATACATTGAGCACGTGATCTAAAATATGATTTTACTGTATTGATAGATTTGATTGCTTTTCATTATTATTATTGATTTGATTGTTTTATGTGATTTCATACCGTTTGACATTATTGACCGTAAGCGATTTCTTTATTGATTTGATTGATTCTATTGATATGATTGAGTGATGTTAATCGTATTTGATTTGACGGATTTACGGATTTACTGTTACTACACGATTTTACTGTTATCGTATAATCGTTCATGTCGTCACTGGATTGTTATTGATATTGATACATACGTTGCTGTTACTGATTGAGATACTGATCAAGTGGTATGTGATTTACTGAATATGTGATATCGATTACTGGATTGCATATGATTTATTGAGAAAGTTATATTGAATAACTGATCGATTTGCAAGTGTATGTTTTGATACGATTCTACTACATTGATTTGACTGGTGTTATAGACTGATGTGATAGATAAGACGACTATTAAAGAGATTTGATGCACGAACTGATTTCTGATTTATTGAGCTTTATGGATTTTCTATTGTTCACTGATTCTATCATTGATGATTTTGGGATTCTATTGTTTATGCATTAATTTCTGTTTCTGTAGTGATTTCCGTATCTGTATCGACTCACTGATCATGTGCAACTGACTATTATGGATTTGATTTGACTATTTGACATGCATATTACTTTCGTGCCGTGTTTTGATTTCAGTTGTAGCTTTGGTGACCTGTTGGGCTATTTAAGCTCATTATATGTGGTTAATGATTTCATGTGCAGAAGGTGCTAGTATAGTCTTTTCGTAGTTTTTGGTTCTCGCATTTTTTTGTAGCCCGAGTGGCTATTGTAAATGTTCTTTTGGATGTAAATGTTATTTTGGACTGTATATATGAAATATCGGAATGTGAATTATAGTATTTTGATGTATTTATTTTCTGTAATGCAATTATCATTTCTGGATGTCTGTATTGATCTGAGAAAAAAAAAAGAGAAGAAGAAAAAGAATGTCAGACGAATCCTTTCACTATTGATGTCTGGGACGTTACAGTTTAGGCAACGTCGCGTACTAGTTTTCTTGTTTTGCTTGCATTGCCCTAAGATGCATGCCGACCACCTCATACGTCTTTAATTGCTCCAATTGGCTATCATTTTTGGGTATTAATGATGTTTCGAAAGCAACTGCGAAGTCTGTTTTGCGATCGGACATTGTTTGGGCGATGTCGTGGGCTAATTTCCTTGATTTGCGGGTTGTTGCCTCAGGATTCATACCACCGCCTCAGACAACCATGACTAAACAAATTAATTATAGTTTTTGGATGTTAACGATGTTCCGAATGCAACGACAAAATCCATTCTATGATCGGACATCGTTTAGGCGACACTGCGAGTTAATTTCAGGCGTCGATCGTCTCTTTGGACAGATCTCGTCCGATTTGACTGCGAGGGGTCCCCACTCAGGCGGATTAGACGTTCTAATTGCAATGACGCAATCCGTTTGACAATCAAAGGTCATTTGACCCTTCAAGTGGCTCGTCGCGTTGACGCTCTTGCTGTTTGATTCACTGGTTTTACTCCCTTTGTGCATAGTTTGATATATAGGTGTCAACATACAAACTAGCATGATTGTTTAAATCTTTTCTTAGCTAGTAAGATTTTAAAAAGAAATTCAATTCTTTAGATATTGAATATGTTCTCTTTATGCAATAGATATATGGTTATAAAAATTATAGAATGTATACAACCATAATAAACATATATGAATTATGAAAATGTAAAGTCTACTGAATATAAAATAAGTAAAGATTGACTATAATATGATACGATACCTGTAATTTCAGGTAGGAAAAAAGGGATCTCAGATATGATATATGTATTGTAGGTGGGGCAAAAGAGATCCCAAAAACATAATACCTTCATAGTAGGTGTGGAAAAATGGACCCCTAAAGAGGCAAAATGGACCTCTATGTAATTTAATGGCGATAATATCAGACTTACCTGAGCTCCATTGAATATTCTTATGAAAGTTTAGTCAAATCTTTAAAAGACTAATATTGATATTCAGTATCAACTTCAAATGAAGTAAAGGTTAATGCTAATTGTGATTTTAAGTTGTATTATAAATAATGTTAAGTTTGGTTAATTAATTATTTCAATGTTGTGAATTTAATCATGCAATTTAATTGCTATTTAATTTGCATAATTTATTGAGCCTCATAACTCATCAGTTTTTTTCATATTGGCTGTTATTACAGAAAAAGGAAAATAAGAAGTCGATGTATAATTAGCAAGTTATTTTATTTCATATGCTAGTGTTTAACTCTGTTTTTAAGTCTACAGCTGAAGTATGTAGACAATTCGGTGGATACTATTTGCGATTTTATTAGTTGCTCTGTAAATATTTGTTTGATATAATTTGAGTTATTAGATGCTTCCGTTATATAGTAAATGTAATGTTATTAGATGTTTTATATAAATATTCAGATAATGAAAAGTATTACATGTTAAGAATAAAAATGTTATGTTTATGTGTGTGACACTCTACAATACTAATAAGAGGTATTGTGGGGTATTACATTCTAGCCATGCACTCTCTCCTATGCTACCTCAAATCTATGCCCCGACAATGAATTTATTTTCCCACAAATTCCATATATTAACTCAAAGCGTTCTCAAATGCCGATTGGGAATCTTGCCCAAACACTAAAAATCCTGTCAGTGGTATATGTATTTTTCTAAGAAAATCATTAGTATCCTAGAAATCCAAAAAGCAAAACATCGTTTTTCACTCTTTAGTTGAAGCAAAATATCGTGTACTCATCAATAGTTAAATGAGTTAACTTGGATAACTCAACTCTTTTTGAAGTACACATACAAACTCTAACTCTTATATTTTATGATAGTCAAGTTGTCGTCCATATAGCTACAAAACCAACATTTCATGAATGGACCGAACACATTGAAATCGATTGCCACTTCGTCCAAGTCAAAGTCACCGATGAATCCACCAAGCTCGTGTCTATGCGGTTATTGCATTGACTTGCGAACATATTTACCAAACCTCTACCTCGCAGACCTCTCTCAACACTGATGTCCATCAAAAACATATGCAATGCATCTTGAAAGGGAGTACTACAACAGCATACCGGCTACACAATCGACCACCCTTCATGCACTTCATTTATCTTTGTTGATGTAGCCATATAGCTCATTTCTTGTTTCATATTTATATAAAACTATGTAATAATTTTCAGTAAGAAGGGAAATTTCACTTTCCCATTCTCATCTTCCTCCAGCATGCCTCTGTCTCTGGCTCGCCATCAATCGACGGTCTCGCAACAGGAGATGAAACATTGGGAGCAAGGGATGTCGATCACCAAGCGGTTAAATTTGACTTGCTATTAGTGGCCATCCAAACAATTATTTGCTCTGCAACTGCAAGGTTATATTAATATCTGAGAGGCAATTCCTAGTATATGAACAGTAAAGTATTTTTCAATATTTTATATGGGCTTGATATTCTAACCAAAGTTGAAATTTCATCTCTAAACAAACTTTAAATGAATAAGGTTCTAAAGGAGATCAAAATGAATTCAAAGCACTAGTCGTCAATCACCTAGTAGCTCGAATCAACGGAGAAGGACCAGCCATTAATATTGAATTATTCCAACTCAAGTTTTAATTATTAAATTTTGAACTATGTATAACTTCTTGCATAACAAAACTTTGTGCGAGAGGGCTATTGAAATTTTAGAGTAAAAAAAAGCGTACTTGTATGACTGCATCATTAAAGGTAACAGCCCCAGATGATGTCTCTTCTATGATTCTTTTCTTCAGCTTCTCATCATTAGTAAAGGCGTAAATAACCAGAGGCTTTGGCCTACCCTTCAAAAATTCAATGCTATCCCCGATCTTCTTTAACTGAAAGAAGAAGATTGAGACACGTCTGAATTCTGATCAATTTCATTAAAAGGGTACCAAAACCTTGGTATCTTACTGTAATTATTGGAAGCAATGGGCCAAAAATTTCCTCCTTCATCACTTCAGAATCTAAAGGTGGATCCAACAAGATGGTTGGCTCAATATATCTGAAGATATTGCAACAAAAAGAGTCTAATTAACATATCCACAAATAGATAAAAAATGTGTCAAAAAGAGAAAGGACTAGAATTTACAGGCTTTCTTGATCTAAGGAGCCACCATGAACTACAGTATCTGCAACCAATGGATCCTCAATCATTTCTCTTAATCTTTGAAAATGCTGCTTATTGACAATCCTTGTGAGATCTGCAGGTCTCATGTAGCAATTTTTTATCTTCTCCTTTAACAAGTCAACCTAAACAGATGTAGGAAGAGTAAGTGACGGTTCATTGGTCATCTATTGCGGTGGTTTTACATGCATCTCTATTAAGGAAGACATGTTATAAGAAGATAATACCAGAAAAGGAGCATATTTTTCTTCTACAAGTAAATAATCAATGGCTATACAAGCTTGACCACTGCAAAACCCCCACTTTGCTCCAGCTACTCGGTTGATGGCCACCTAGAAGAAAAAAAAACACTACCAGAAGATTAAATGGTCATGCTATGATATACTCAAATGATTTACGAGAATAAAATAAATGTTTGATTAGTAAGCTGCGCAACGGAGGCAGCCAAGTTCAGGTGGGTGGAACACACGAGGGATTTTATATACAAATACTTGGTAGTGAAGATTAGTTTTTACAAAATATTCAATTTGCAAACCTTTACATCTCTTGATCTCGAAAGAGAGTCAATAATAGCAGGGCATTTTCCTCCTAATTCAAGACAGACTGGAGTCAGATGCTTTGCAGCTGCTGTCATTATAATACGTCCAATTCTTGCGCTCCCTGAAAAAAGAAAAGCCAGAACATAGAAAATGGAAGGATCTCTGTGTAGAGGCCAATATGAAATAAATTTAAGCAAAGTTGGTGAAAAATATAACATAAGCGATGCGATATATTAAGTGTTGGTTGACTACAACTAATTCAGCTCAACCGGGATCAATCCCAAGTCCTATTACGCAAGCCAATCACAAGGAATAAGACCAGAAAATTAGAGTTAAAAAAGGAGAGAGAGAAATTATTCTCCATTGAATTTTTTTATTAATTGAAGCATCTATGTACCCATATATAAAAAATAAAAAGAATATTTTCAATAATGGGAGAATATCATGATGATGAATAGTAAAGATTCTTACTATATATGATTTAGTACTCATGATAATAAAAGTATGATAATTCGTCACTGCAAATTCAAAACATAAAAGATGCCAACTTGAGTTACGAAAACCTGACTTCGGATGTAGTCAAAGGTTTGTTGTCTAGAGGTTGTTAAGTATCACAATATGAAAGCAATTAAAGCTTGCGAGATCCATGAAGGAGAATCCTTCATAAATGATATTGGGGTTCAATGGTATAGCATTGAGAACCATGACTAAGAAGGCACATAAAAGGTTCTCAAACGGAGGTTGAATAGATGCTAAAATAGAGAATAAACAAATCCTTAAATAGAGGATGAATGGATGTTTACATAAATGATAAACAAAATCTCAAACAAAGGATGAATAGAGACCATTAGATGACAAGGAACGCTATGAACAATTAGACTAGGGTGTTGATTATAGACATAAACCACATTATTGATCGAGGCATCAACAAAGGCATTGATAGAGAGCACTAACAAAAGTATCGATAGAGATCATCCACATAAATATAGATGTATTGATGTTGATGGTGGTTTTGACAAAGATAATACAAGAGGATTAATCTTTGGATAATGCTGAAATAATTGAAGACCGTTGAATAGAAGCTTATAACATTTTTTTGTTTAAGGCATGACGAGAAAGATTGATGTTGAGGTGATGTGGCTAGCAACCAAAGGCGAAGGGTGGTGAGATTGGCAATCAAATAATTAAGGTCACGGAGACAAGGATCATGATTTCTAGGAAGAGATGTAAGTGTAATCAACGGGATTAGCAATGATTATAAATGAGTGAGTGCTCAAGATTGTGCAAGTGTAATAGCACAAGGTAGATTGAGAACAACAATGTTGTGAACAATATAAATGTTGATGTGAAACAAAATTTGCATGGAATTACTTAGGGAAATTAAAGAGAGTACATTTAACAAAATAATCCAAAATAAAATTGTTACTTATAGCAATAGATTGATCCTTGGAGTCCTTAGTTTTTAACTTGCTTAGGCAAAGAAGAGCAAAACCGATTAACCAAACAATTCAAGAAAACGCAAAGAGTAAGTGTATGCTACGACGATAAACAAGAATCCACGATTTAATAAAGAGAACTTTCACCTTTGGAGCTCATACGCTCAACTAGTCAAGGCTTTAGCGGAAGAAGAGTCTCCATATTATAATCGAGGTCACTCCGAGGAAGAAGGAACCTAAGATCATCGTTCTTGGATAGGTGGCCGGAGTGGTGGAGGATGATGGTCGTCCGATGATGATCCAACGTCCCTTTAATATTTGCTCGTCGATCACATCAACTAGTGTGTACTGGATACGGTCGAGGTAATCTTCAATAGTGTCGTCGAAATCGAAGCCCACGTCAAAGAATGGTGATTGTAGGATGTCAACTTGATCTTGGTCGTCATGCACAAACCCAAAGTTCCACTCGGGTTCCGCCATGCATCCTCGCCCGGAGGTAAGGTGGCGTCCGAGAAGGAGAGCGGAAGGGGAAGGCGGCGGATTGAAGTAGAGAGGGTGAAGTTATTTGGTGGAGAGAAGAAATCTGAAATTTAGTTTCAGATTTTTTTCAAGGGGAAAGAGGGAGGAATTGATTTCAAATTTCAGATTTGGAAATCTGAAATTAAAATCAAGGAAAACTGAAATTAAACCTGAGAGAGAGGGGTATTAAAGAGGTGTTTAAGTGGTGATGAGGTGGCAAGTAGAGGAGAAACAATAGGGGAAGGTGGCCGGCCATATGGGAGAGAGAGAGGCTTGGAATTAAATAGGTGGGACCCAAGGTAGAGTAAATACTCTTAATCAAATCTGAAATTTTAATTTCAGATTTAATTTAAGTTTAAGTAACCTCCCAAAATTGATATGAAATGAGAGGGAAATAGGAGTTTGAATTTCAAATATAATTAAATGCTATTAACTTCCTGCCTTAATATGGATTATTAATTAGGCAATTAATCAAACATTAGGAATTTGAAATTCACGGGTTGGGCAAACAGGGAGAGCCGGCGGCAAGGGCTGCAGGAACATTCAGTGGGCTGGGCTCACGGTTTGGGCTGCCTGCTGTGGATTTGGGGAGCGGTGGAGGGGGGTGGCTGCACGGGAGGACCCTAGGCCGGCGGCCAAAAGCCTGGAGAGTGGGCTGGCCGGCGGGAGGAGGCAGCTAAGGTGGTCGGCGGCTTGAGCAGCTCAAGGCTAGGCGGCGGCAAATGCAAGGGGAAGGAAGACAGGGAAAATTTCTAGGGATTCGGCGAGTGAAAATCCAATTTCCCACGAAAAGCTTCAATCCAAATCCACACAATGATGACTTGATCAAGATAAACAAAGAAAAGAGAAGGACAAGAAAACCTAGAACTCACAAAGAGATCTAGTTTCTCCTACGAACTCACTAAGAGATCGAGGAGGGTGAACTCACAAAGAGAACATAAGTGGCAAATTTTCATTCATCAAAACTACTATTACATGAGAAAATGGCCATATATATAGGCCACCAAATGACAAAGAAAACAAAAGACAAAAATGCCCCTTGGGCTACAATAGCGACTAAATACCCACAAGGGCAAAAGCGGAAAAACATAGAAATAAAATAAACTACTACATAAAATGACAAAATACAACTCATGCTCGTGGCCGTCGATCTCCGGCGTCGAAAATGCTGACGATGTCCTCATCAAATGTTTTATTGACGGCTTAAGGAGCAAGGAATATGTGAATAGTATGACTTTAGCAATGAGATGTTGCAAGACATAGTGTTCATATACGAGGAATATACGAAAAGGCTGCAGTCATCCAAGGTATTTTGGCGAAGGAAGAAGTGATGTCCATAGAATGATCAATAACACTGCCATAAAAGTAGGTACCATAGTAGCGCTTGGTGGTTGGATGAACAAGACACTAAGAGGAGATGTATAGAGAGATATAGCATACCACAAAGATGAGGCTAATGACACTAAGATGGCTTCTACGAGTCGTAGTAGATAGCATAAGATAAGATATGGAGAAATAGGAGAACTGTAATCCATTGAATTATTTTGTTAATGCAAGCATATATTTGCCTATATATAGGCAATATAAAATAATAATAAAGAATAATATCCTAAACAAAAAAAGGGATATCATGATAATGAATATTAAAGATTTTTGTTATATATGATCCAGCACATATGACTATATAGATATAGTAATAAGATAGATGAATCAAATCATTAATAAGCCTTTCTCATGCTTTAATAGACCTTCCCCTTGTGTTGGTTAAATTTTATATTATTTATATGTAATTTCTTGATTATTTTGAATGTATTAAGTTACGGGTAATTTAGTCCAAAGTATGATTTTGTTGCTTTAAATATGCATCATGTATATATGCATAAGATGACTGATGATTAAATGATGAAAGCCTGAAGATAAAATCAACCACTTTATCCTTAACAAAGTTGTGTACACTTTCTCCCATTTGATCCAAGTTTTCAATGAAGATAAATCTATGATGTGTATGTGGATCGTATTGAGTCCATTCTCGCTCTACTCTCCTGATTACAAAGTATCATTGCTTAAATTATTTGCTCTTTTTCTTTGATTGCATCCTCTTCTCATCTATAGGGAATCAACAAATGCAAGCATCCGGTTCACCTCGATATAAGGGACAAAATTAAAGTTTTCCTCCTTAAGTCTCTTGGCCAGAAGGAGAAAGAAAGCTTAAGAAATCCTTAATTTTCCTCACCCTGGTATTAGAAACTTCTATTAAAATAAAGCAATAAGAGCCTTCCATTAACCTATGTTAATAGTGTAGTTAATTATGTGATCTTGATTTTTTTGAGTCAATCTGACACTAACACAAGATCTGCTTGATTTAATTTGATCTAAACTCAAGTTATGTTGAGCATAGCTATAGATTGGCATAACATGATCTCGTTTGGAATTAGACTTGGCTCATAAATTTGACAATCTCATTACAAACCAAAAATCAATACAATTTTTAGGCCAATTTCTACCTTTTAAGTTAGATTCTTAGTCCAATCTACAAGAATGCATCCATATGTCTGGATATATATATATATATATATATGTGTGTATGCTTAAAAGCAAACATAAATACTTCTGAATATATGTGTATGAATAAATGCCATTTTCATAAACACATGCTAGCCCTAATTTTATTCCTAATATCAGAAATTTTATGCGGCTAAAGCATCAAATGATCCAAAAGAAAAAACAACGGCATATGCTGGCTTTGCGAAAAAAATTAAGGAATAAATAGATAAAATCTAGCAGCATGAAACCAAAAGCGAACGAGCAACCTTCCTCAGGGATTTACGGTGTTAAACTAAAAAGAAAGAAATAGATAAAAATTAAGGAATAAAATCTTTTGTTCTTTTTTAATATCTTAGTTTGGAGGAATTTATCTTTCTTTTTGGCTTTTCCTTTGAGAAAGATTGCACAATGATGGTTGAAACTTACCAGTGAAGAAGATCTTATCCCATTTCTGTTCCAGGAGTTGCTGCCCTACGAGAGGGCCACCTTCAATAACCGACACAGCCTTGTTGTCCAAATATTTGGGCAAGTTTGTTGCCAGAAATTTGGAAGATGCAGAAGCAAGTTCTGAGGGCTTTAAAACTACAGAATTCCCAGCTGATATTGCTCCTATCAATGGCTCCAGGGACAATCCTACACATAAATACAAGTTGCTGTCACAATGTATACAAAGGAAAACAGAAAAAATAAAATTAGAAAGTTCTGCATAATTTGTTCCATGGTGGGACTATTTTGATTCCAAAATAGTAATTATATAATTTGTTCTGATTTAGTACTGGTAGTTAATTACTGTTTAAGTTCAAAAACGGATATTTTTATTAATTCTGGCACCAAAGCATATCGCCATGAATCAAGGCATTTAGTCATTATTGAGAGAAACCTGCATAGAATTCTTAAAGAAGGAGATCTACAGCATAATGAAAAGATAAGGCTTAATGATTCATCTCCATTGATTCAATACTCAGGCTTTACAGATGATATAAATAGAAAATTAGAAGATAATCGAGAGGTAGAGAACAGCGATGCCATTAATGACAGATTGTCTTGCAGTGTGGAGTAGTGCTGCCTCAATAAGCTGATGCAGTACGAATATGTTAATTATCTTGTGCTTGAGGTTCATTTGTGTGCTCTAACAGCCCCCCTCAAACTAATCATTCGAGGACTGAATGGTTAGTTTGTCCCTGAGTTTCAAAAATATTAGTGGAGAAAGAGGTTTAGTAAGTATGTCTGGAGGTTGATCCACTGAGTTGAGATGAAGGATGGAGATTATGTCGTTGTGGATGTGATGACTGATAAAACAAAAGTCTATCTCTATGTGTTTGGTGCGAGCATGGAAGACCGGATTATGAGCTAGTGCAATGGCCAACGTATTGTCACAATAGATGACTGTGGGTGTGTTCTGAGGCTCCAGGAATTATGCCAGTAATTTGCGCAACTAGAGGACATCAGAAGTGGCTAAGGAGAGGGTTTGGTATTCGACTTCAGTGGATGATTTGGCAACAGTAACTTGCTTTTTAACACACCAAGATATGAGAGTGGCACCTAGATAAGAATAGAATCTTGTTATGGATTTTTTTGTCAGCTGAATCGGAGGCCCAGTCCGCATCCACATATGTGCTAAGGTGCAGATTGCTAGGTACCAAAGGTAGGCCATAGGATTTGGTAACCTGTATATATCGAAGGATAAGTTTGAGGGCTAGATAGTCAGCATTCGTTGGGATATGCATATGTTGGCAAATAGAGTTTACAGCAAAGGCAATATCTGGTCTTGTTATTGTGAGATAATTGAGGGATCTAGCGAGCCGTCTGTATAAATGAGGAATGTAAAATGGTTGTGTGGCTAGAGCCGTTTTCGATGGCATAAGAGTGAGTGGTGTGGCCACAGTTTTGTAATTGGTGAAGCCTGCGGAGTCCAGAAGTTCTGTAGCATATTTCGTTTGATGGAGAAGTAGGGCAGTGGAAGTTCGGTGGACTTGGATACCTAAGAACGTGGAAACATAACATATTTGCTTGAGGGAAAAATTGGTCTGTGGCATTTTGAGTAAAGACTGAATGGTCTGAGAATGATTTCCGCTAAGAAGTAAACCGTCCACATAGATCAGCAGATAAAGTTGAATGTCAGATTTGTTGTAGATAAGAAATGAAGGATCTGCCTTGCTGAATATGAAGCCATATTGGAGAAGGGAATGTGTTAGCTTGTTGTACCATTGCCTAGGATCCTGTTTGAGGCCATAGATGACCTTGTGTAGTTTGCAAATAAAATGAGGGTGTTGAGCATCAGTAAAACCTAGAGGTTGTTTCATATAAACTTTTTCATGGAGATCGGCATGTAGAAAGGCATTTGAGATGTCAAATTGAAGTGAGGATCAGTTTCAATGAAGAGCAAGAAGAAGTAGAATATGAATCGTGGGTAGCTTGACCACCGGACTGAAGGTTTCATTATAGTTTATTCCATGCTCTTGAGTAAAGCCTTGAGCTACTAGTCTAGCCTTGCGACATTCAATCTGACCATCCGAGCTGGTTTTGAGCTTGAAGATCCACTTACATCCAAGGATTGGTTTGTCTTTAGGTGGAGGTATGAGGGTCTAAGTGCCTTGCTTCAAGAGTGCTAAGAACTCATCCGACATGCCATCTCTCCAAGGCTTGTATTTGACAGCTTGATTATAAGAATTAGGGATGATAGTGCATTGAGTGATTGTAAAAAGATCAAAAATAACTTTGGGTTGTTGGTGACCGGTTTTTAACCGGGTTTGCATGGGATGTATGGATGTGATAGGCTGTGGTGGAGGTTGGGATGTTGATGGAGATAGGGAAGATGGTAATGAAGAATTAGGAGTATTTGAAGAGAAAGGAGATGGGGGAGGATAAGAAGTGCTTGAAGTAGGTGGAGTGACGTGGGGTATGGATATTTGTTTGAAAGTGTTGGGAAGAATGGAGGTAGGAGTGAAAAGTAAGGGGTTTTGTGGTGGTTTGGTAGAGGTAGGAATGTGATTTGGGGAAGAGGATTGGTAAGGAAATATATTTCAAAGAAAACAGCATGACAGAAGACATGAATTTTGTTGGTATTAAGATGAAGACAGCGAACCCGGGAAGACACACTCGTGAGAGCATGGAGAGAGGTTGAAGCCAAGGAAAACATAGGCAACCGAACGTTTTTAAGTGAGTGTATGAAGGAAGATGATCATGAAGAAGTTGATATAGGATTTGAAGATTGCGAGTTTTAGTAGGTAGTATATTGATGAGATAATTAGAGGTTAGAACAGCTTCAGCCCAAAAGATTTGAGGGAGATGTGATGCATGGAGAAGAGTTTGGGTTGTCTCAAGTAGAAGATGATGCTTGCATTCTGCAAGGTCATTCTGCTCTGGGGTGTACAGGTAGCTAAGTTGGTGTGTGATGCTGTTGAAGGAGAAAATTTTGAAAAACATAACTAGTTTGTTCTCCTCCACCATCAATGCGAAGTATTTAAATGGAATGATTAAACGATGTTTTAATGAGCTAATGAAATTATTTGAATTTTGAGATGGTTTCATCCTTGGTGTACTTGTACATGAGATAAAGCTATGTGTAACGAGTATAGTCATTTATAAACACAACATAATAATGAAAGCCATAAAACGAAGAAACAGGTGATGGTCCCTAAACATTAGAATATATTAACTGAAATGGTTTAGTTACATGACTTTGAGGGAAGGAAAGGTAGTTTGTGACTCTTGGCTACATTACATGAGGTACATATAAAGAAGGGAGGAGTACATATAAAGGGTGATGCAAGCAAAAATATGGGCAGACCCCAATTTTTGCAAGCATATTAAAAGACTTAGAAAAATAACAAAATACATGTTAAAATTCAACTTTCTTATTCTAAAATGACTCTTACAAACTTAAGAAATAAAGGTCCTAAACTTGTATTGCATCGCTTGAGAAGAAGATAAATATGGCGTCGAACTTGCGGACAGAAGAAAGAGGTAAGAAGCCCAAGACGAAGGAGAGGACAAGCTCGCAAGCTTTCCCAAGAAGGAATAGAGAAATGGAACAAGCTTGCAAGCTTCTCCAAGAAAACCCGCAGGTTTTGGCTCCAAAAATCACATCATAACACTTTTTTAAACTCTCTAAACATCAAATATATATATATATATATATATATATATATATAGGAGATAAGAGGTAGCTAAACAACCACCATAACCACTAATTAAGCACATTAAAACAAGAGAATATGGAAGGCCATGGGGCTGTACAAAAACAGCACCCAAACAGCCATAAAAGGGGGCCAGCATTCATTCCAGAACAGCACCGAGCAGCCACACAGGAACCAGAAAAAAGGCAGCCAAGTGGGGGAACCAAAGGGTCATAGGCAAGGGGGAAAGAGCCTCATTAATTGCAAATTATGAGCTGAAAAAGTAGTAGCTTAAGCATTAATGAGCTGGAATCAAGAAGCTCCCAAAGAACACAGCCCAAACCCGAGCAGCCAAGGCTCAACCCGAGAAGCAACAGCAGCCCAAAAGACCAAAGAACCCAAGAAGCTAGCACACCCAAGGTTTTCCATGCCCAAGCACTAACTACTCATAGCATAAAAAAAACTAATCAAAAATTATAATATTCAAATTACAATAAAAATGAAAATAAACAGTAATTTGTATGCATCACGGGGTATTACATCAGTAAGCAATTTTAAAATTCTAATATTGGGATGACCAAGTCGAGCATGCCATGGCTCGGTGGTGACAGCTGTGGAGTGAAGAGCTTTTAGAGAGGATGATGAAACTATGTGAACAGTATAGAGACCATCTCTAGAGCGGCCACGAAGAAGGATGCTATTGTCCAAAAGATTCTTGGTAAGGAATCCATGAGCATCAAAGGAAATTGAACAATTGTTAATAGAAGTTAGCTTTAAAATGGATAATTGATTGTGAGAGAGTAAGGGAACATGAAGAAGGTTATAGAGACGAAGCTTACGATTGGTGTCTGGGAGAGGGAGAATGCCTTGACCAGTATGTTGAATTAGAAGAGTTCCTCCATTAGCGATTTATGCTGAATTTAGACCGTTGTAGGGAGTCGACTATTGCAGATGATGAGCCTCAGACGTGAGATGAGAGGAGGCTCTGGAGTCCAGGACCCATTCAATAACAAGTGGGATGGCAGAATTGTTGGAGTTGGTCAGGAAAGCTCGATGGTTTGAAGGTGAAGTTGGGGCATACTGCATGTTGCAACAATCAACAGTTCAAGGCAACGTGTTCAAGTTTCCCACATATCTGAAAGGTTGGGCACGAAGAAGATGGCGTCGAAGGTCGACCTGGATTCAGTCCAGGTGAATTCGGTCTGAAGGAAGTTCCTCTTCTTCAGGTTGAGCGAAAAATTGCCTTACCTGAGGAGCACTAGAGTGATTGTTACTAGTGCAGTGTGCTCAGATGGTTGAGGAGATTCCTTTTATTGTTTGGTTTATAGGTTTATCTCTTCACTACATAGAAGTGAATAAAGAGTTTTTAAGTTGATCTATTGCTATGTGTACGAATTGCTATATTGAAGGGATTGCAGATGGATGATAATTCATTTAATGTGTACATAATGACATCTTCAGCATCGATGTGAGCCCCTACAGCCGCAATATTGCCAACAAGAGCTTTGATTTGAG